TGCTCTCCATCCACTCTCCACCCATGAAGTGAGCCAACACCCCCCCCCAGCCTTGGGGAAATGGCCACCGGTCCGTGCAACATCCCCGATCCGCTCTTGCCGCAGCCCCTGCTGCGGGTTGGTACCTACTTCCTCCACATCTTCATCCAGCTGCTCGTTCGGATCCACCTCACGCACCAGGTCCTGCAATTTCTTCTTGGTCAAAACCTGAGCGTGGGGGAGGAGAGGAGGGATTTACCACCCTGGTTTGAGCTGCCCACCCAGCACAGCCACCAAGTCCTCCTCCTGCCCTGTCCCCCACCCCACCCCCGAGGCCCAAGTCACACTGGTGACACAGGTATCAGTTCTGGAATGGCAGAGATAAGAAATATCAGGTGTTAAGGAGTCATTTTCAAGCACCTGGGGTGGCTCCAAGGGCAGTGGAATGCCGCAGGCCAGGATAAATCAGCCTCCTGCGCTGAGGTGGCTGAAGCAAGGCTGCTGGTGGAGGGGACAAGGGCAAACCTTCAAGGCTCAAGAGGCAGACAGCAAGCCAAGCAACCTATCAGTGACTAAATCTGTGCTCAGGGGACAAAGGAAACGTTTCCGTGGCTCTTGTGCTTATCAGCTTTAGTCTTTCAAATGGAAACCAGCCATACAGAGTTATTCTAGGGCAGAAGACAGCACCCTCAGCCCAAATGGGGCAGGGAGCTGAAATTTTACTGCCTCTGAACATCTTAAGTCTTACAGGATACGGATGAAAGTCAACACCACTGCTCTGTCAGCAGGGTCAGACGGACCAGAGACGCTCCTGCCCTTCCTGGTCCCCTCACACCAAGGGTGGAAGGGCTGTGTGTTTGCGTGGGGGCACTGCTACCCTTCCTGGCGAGGTCAGGGCGGCGGCGAAGCGGGCAGGGAGAGGAGGGTGCCTTCCGGCCACATGCAAACGGTGACGCTGCCCCTCGCACCGCCCCAGTCGGGCTACAGACCCACACTTCCATTTCTCCCCTCTAAACCCCACTGAAACAGCGTTTCCCAGTCACAGGCCCAGCATACATTTCCCCGAGACTGGGAAAACCCTCTACACCATCAGCCTGAAAGTGCCGGGGAGGGAAGAAATAGATGAGAATGTTTGCTCACCCATACATGGCACTTTATAACCGACACTGAGCTCCCACCCGTAGGTTAAGGAAGGAGAGGAATTAAACCTCTCCTGTGAGCATCATCGGGGATGAAATTACCTGGCTGCTTTCAGGACTGAGCCGGCCTCCTCCGCTGGGCGTCCCGGGCATCTTGGCCACGGTGGTGCTGTTGGCCATGGAGCTCTGCGGGGGAGTGCTGGCTGGTTCCGGCTTTATCGAGGAGAAGTTGGAGAGGTTGATCAAGGTAGAAGGGCCAAACTGGTTCATAATCTGTTGGGCTTTAGCTTTTAGATCATAAAGCTTATCTAGGTCCTGCTTCTTCTTGGGGTTGTGGGGACCCAAACCAATCAACTGGAAAAGGAAACGAAAGCCAAGGTTAGGAAAGGAGAAGGAATGCAACAGGGCTTTGTCCCGAGGAAGTCACAGTGTCCTGACGGGGTGTCTCTGGACGCAGCGAGAGGGGAAGAGCAACGTTGAGAAGAAGAGAAAACACACCCTGGTTATGTGGAACAAGAAGGTTGCGCAGAGGCAGCAGGTCTGCAGCGGCACTGACCCGCCTGCTCGTTCCTCGGGCTGAATCCCACACGCGTCCACCCCTCACCCTCCGGTCAGGGCCCTTCTGAACGCACTTCCCTCGGACCACAAACAGCGCTGAGGACGAGGCCATGCAAACACGATTTAAATAAAGGCCAGGGCTTGCTCCCGCAGCAGCGATGCCAGGAGGCAGCAGGCACAGTGTGTGAGCCTTCACCTCCACACGCCACGGGCCTGGGAAGATCGCAAGGCTCGGGCTCCCTGAGGTGCCCGCTGAGGGCTGGAGGTGTCGTTTTTGGCAACGCCACACTTCAAGCCCGGCCAACTGCAAAGCCTCGCTGCCAGCTAGGCAACGTAGGATTCGGTTCTGGTTCTGAGAGCACAATTCTGCATACTCAGAGGTAACGTGATGGAGAAACACGCATGCCCACGCCTTCAATTTGCTCCCACACCAGGCAACCCACAGCCACGGTAGGTGACGTCAGGTTTACTGAGCTGTTAACGGTGAACCAGAAGTGGGTTGTGGCAGCTTAGGTGGTTATTCAGATCTTCCGCGTTCACACTTCGGTGCCTGAAGTCATTCAGGTTAGCGGCCACTGAGCTAACAGACTGACTGGCAACCATGGAATTTCACGGCTGGAAGGCTCTAAAATCCAGGCTCAGCAAAGCTCTGCTCTGTCCTCACTGCTCCGCAAAAGGAGACTCGTCCAAACTCCGGACATTGCGCTCCCACAAGCGGGGTGGGCAGCAGCGACAGCTCCGTCACGCGAAACAAACGCTGAAGGGACGGTTTGACGTCAAAGGTCCTCGCGCAGCGGGCGCTGCCGGGCCCAGGGACGGGTGATGCAGCCGCCGCTCACGGCAGCCTCTCCTGAGAAGCCCGTGCATGACGAGGTGAGCTTACTTACGGGAGAAGAGTTTGTTTCAGCAGCTTTACAGCACGTCTGCGACCTGAGCTACAAACAGACATTTTCTCCTCATCAGAGCAGGCTTGGTTAGTTTGGATTAATTCACACCAAAACACAAACGAAGAATCACGCAGGAGTACCGGGAAGCGGCTGCTCCAGTGCTTCATTCCAAGGCACGCTCATGCACTGCCACACGATGTGTGCCATTCTCCTAACCGATCCCCGTTAGGAGAATTTATACCCCAGGCACGCTCCTGCAGCGCCCTCAGCAAGCTTCTAGCTCAGTTTTAACTGAATTAAGGATGGAAAACCATTACACTCACACCCAAAACCCCCTCAGCCAGCACTTCCGGATGAGGAGCACAGCACAAGATCGGGAGGGACCTCAGCGTGCTGGTCTTGGTTTTAGCGTACGCTGATCTCAGGCCCTTCGCCCCTCGCAAATCCACAAAGCAGGACCTCGTACCCACCATGCAGGGGAGAAAGCTCCACAATCCTTGGGCAAAAAGCACTTTATTAGCATAAAGTCATTATGCTCATCGATTTCCGGATCTTATCGCACCCATCGCGTGTCGTTAAGATCACCCAACGCCAAACTAATGGGATGCGGGATGCGCAGATTCCCAGGACAAATCCCACATGCCAGCCCCGGGGGTTTACTTACAGCTATCTGAGTGTCTAGATCTTTAATTACATCAGCAACCGCTGTGGGGCCAGCGAACGGAGAGGCCATTTTCCAAAGCCTTCCCAGTACGTCAGCAGTCAGCGTTAACCTACTCTCGCTTCCTCCTCTTCCATATACCTCTCATTCCTACAGGAATACCAGATATTGTCCGTATCACCCACTCCGGCGTAAGATGCTGAAACAGTTTCACACAAGGGAGTGGGCACTGTCCTTACTACGGCGCGAGAGGGTTCATCTACCAGAGGATATTGCACAATGAGAGCGCACGTTGCTGCAGGGGCCGAGGCATCTCCCAGGATCCTGAAGCGGGAGCAGGAATTTGGCCAAATTCCGGTTTTCTGTCAGAAGACAGAGTAGGGTGGTATCTGCTGTCAGCAGCAACGTGCAGGCGAGCCTGGAGCTCTGCGGCAGCAGCTTCCCTCAGCGGCAGGAATAGGCCTGGTGGCTGCAATCAGCACGGCTGACTCTCAGCAAACTCAGGTTTAATTACAGCTGTAATTAAAGTCAGCTGTAATTAAAGTCTATGTTAAAGCCAAAGAAACTTTCAGCGCATCCCCTGGAGTGCTCAGGGGGGCTCCCGACTCCATCAAGCCACAACAACTTTCACCAGATGTTTAAATAGACTTGCAAAGGACTGCACGGTCCGGGCGCCACTTTATTGTTAATAGAGAAAACTGGGAAAGTTCTTGGGTTTTATCTCTTTACTTATTACAAACACGAGACAAAATCCTCCCTTTCGCTGCTAGAGGAAGCATCTGTTACAGCCACTCATCCATCAGGTGCACTGGCTAAGAAAGAGCCCTTTTTCCCCCTGGATGTGATTGTCAGATGCTGAAGGGTGACTCTAACTCCTTCCTCCTCCACCCACAGCTTCTCGTTTTGCCCCCGAAGCACCGACACCCCACATCCAGGGAGGCACAGCTCCCTGCC